AAGGAGGAGCAATCTTCTCCTGTGCCCGTCAGATTTGATTCAAAGGTACACAACAATAAAAATAAAAATGCTCTTGACTGAAAACATCGCTGCATATATCCATCCAGACATGCAGTTGTTTTGACTATACATTGTTTCTCACTTATTAACCAGCTCATTATCCAACATTTCATAATCTCCAAAATAGTTTTTAAAAAATAAATCCACCCAACAGATCTACTATCTGAATGTGTTTTGCATTTACAATGTGTATCTGGCAGTAGCCAATGCTAAACTCCAAAGTTTGAGTAATACTTGTGATGTGGGTTGAGGTTCTGTGTTGACTTGCCCGGGTCATGGTTCTCGGTGTCTTATCAGTTATGTAAAGATATGCTTTGACAGTTATGTTGTGATAGAGTTCTTCTCCATTTCGTGATCTGATGTGGCCTTCTTCTATTTTAATACAAGATCAATTTTCTCATAGTTGCCAGATCTCTGAAGTTTAACAAAGTTAATAATAATTCATCATGTTGTTGTTGTTAGGTGCCATCTACTCGACCACAACTCATAGTAATCATACGTAATTCAACTGATATAAACCTTATCTACCATGCACTCCCTTCACTATCTTTGACAGGCTCAAGTCTTTTGTTATAGTTATTGTGTTAATCCATTTTGTTGAAGGTCTCACTCTCTTTTGCTGACCTTTCTCCTTTCCTAGCATGCTATCTTTTTCCAAGGTCTGACCTCACCTGAAAAAACATGTTCAAAGCATGTGAGACAAAGCTTCTTCATCCTTTCTTTAAGGAGCACCCTGTTTGCACTTCCACCAACAAAGACTTGTTTGTTCTGTGGATAGTCTGTGGGATATTGAATAATCTTTTCCAACACCATATATCAAAGGCATCTATTCTTCTGTCATCCTTATTTATTGTCCAACTTAAACCTACATTCAAAGCAATTGAAAATGCCATTGCTTACATCAGGAACACCTTAATCTTTAAATTGACAGTGTTCTTTATTACTTAGAGAAGTTTGGATTTGTTGTTGTTGTTGATTGCCGTCAAGTCGAGCACGTCTCATAGCAACCCTATGAACAAAAGGCCTGAAACATTTCTATAACTACCACCATTTATCAAAGTTCCTAGAGTTTCCAGAGGCATGTTGTTTAGGAAATAGTGGGCATTAAAAAAAACCAAACCTTATGAAGATCAGAGGAATGTTGGACATAGTGCTGGTAGATGAACTCTTCAGATTGGAAGGCACTAAAAGCTGAAGAATAGCAGCTGCAAACATCGAATAATAACTGGAACATGGAATATATGAAAGAAGTAGGAATCAGGGAAAATTGGAAGTTGTTAAAAATAACATGTACATAAAGGTCGATAACCTAGGCAATTATTGTTGGTTGTTCATTGCCATCAAGTCCGAACCAATTCATAGCTGACCTGCCAGTGTGTTTTCAGAGGCTATAAATCACACACGAGGAGACTGCCCATCTTTATCCCTCAGAGCAGCTGCTGGATTCCAGCCACTTGCCTTTAGGTTGGCAGGTCCACCCCTTACCCACTAGGCCACAGAGCTCTCTTCCTAGGTATTAGAGATGGACTGGTATTGGCCATTTTGAACCAGACATTCACATCATTATTCTAGGAATGAGAAATTGAAGAGGAATGGTGCTGTAGTCATAGTAAAAAAGAACATTTCAGGATCTATCCTGAAGTACAGAGTTGTCATGTGTGATAGGATATTATCTACATGCCTACAAGGAAGACTGGTTTATGCAATTATTATCCAAATATACACACTATCCTCTAAAATAAAGAATGAAGAAATTGAGGATTTCAATCAACTTCCCCCCCCTTTTTTCTTCTTGTGTATCATCAAATCAGATCCTACTGGCACAGGAGGAGATTGTCCCTCCTTCTCCAGCAGAGCATCTGGTGGATTCAAACTTGTGTGCCTTTGGGATTGCAGCATAGCTTCTTGCCTCTAGGCCACCAGAGTTCCTCCCCTGCCTCTTTTCTTCAGATTCCCATCAACTTTTGCAGTCTGAAATTGATCAAACATACAAGTAAGAACTGAAAAATTCAAAACCACAGTGAGGTACCCTCTCCATCCCAGTAGCAGTAGCAAAGAGTCAAAAGACAGCAAGCCATAAATGTTGGAGAGAATGCAGAGAGATTGGAACTCTCATGCACTGCTAGTGGGATTGTAAAATGGTCCAACCACTGTGGAAGGTAGTCTGATGTTTTCTCATAGTCTGATGTTTTCTCAAAAAGCTGAACATAGAAATCCCATATGACCCAGCTATTCCACTGCTAGGAATGTATGTCAAGGAAATCAGAACTGAGACACGTGCCTTTGAGTTGTGGTGCTGAGAAGAGTGTTGAACATAACTATGAACTGCCAAGAGAACAAACTGGTCTGTCTTGGAGAATATGAAGTCAGCTTGCTCTCTGGACACAAGGATTTTGAAGCTCTGTCTCACATACATTGGGCATGTGGCCAGGAGGGACCTTCTTGGAGAAGGACATCATGCTTGGAAAAGTAGAGGGACAGCTCAGGAGAGGAAGACCCCAGATGAAATGGATTGGCACAGTGACTGGGACAATGGGGCAGGTGTGTTAAAGACAGTAAGACTGGCCCAAGATAAGACAGAGTTCAGAGCTGTTGTGCGTAGGGTCACACTATGAGTTGCAGGCAACTCAAGGGCACATAACAACAATAATATGTTTATAGCAGTGTATTCATAATAGAAAGAAAACGGAAACAGCCCAAACGCCCATCAGCAAATAAGTAGATGGAGAAATTGTGGTACATTCCCACAATAGCACACTATGCAGCAGTAAGGAACAGCAAGTTTGTAAAATATTATACAATATGGGAGAGTCTAGAGAGCATTATGCTCAGTGAACTAACTCAGGTTCATAAGGACAAATACTGAATAAGAACTTTATTATGAAAAATAGAAGGGAAACTGAGTAAATTGTGTACAAATGTTCAAAAGAGGAAGGGTTAAGGGAACATAAAGTGGCAAAAGGGACAGTGAGAAATCACTGAGACAGCAGAGTTTAGTGGGCAGATGAAGGGGTAAAGGAATAGCAAAGGTTCAGTGTGGATTTGATAAGAGAAGGTAACTAGGCGTAGATCAATAGTAATTCTGTAAATTATGAATGATTGTACAAAATACAATATACATGTATGAAACACAATGTTTATTAATTATTCCAAGCAATAATAATATATAATTTGAATAAATATCTGATTGAGTTGCTTATGACATATAGAGAAATCAAGAAAAGATGCCTGCGCTCTGAAAAAGTAAAAAGAACTGACGGGTTGGAGGTTCACGTTTACCTAGAAGCCTCTTAAAAGAAAGGCCTAGCTGTCTTCCCTGTGAAACACCAGGCACAGGGCTTTTACCCGATGGGGCATGATTCTTTTGGGATGTGCATGGGGTCTCCATGACTGGGGCAGGACTCCAACACAGCTGAGACTGATAAGACAAAAGGAAAACAAACAAACAAAACAAAACAAAAAGAAACCTTTGCTTGCTGGAGAGGGACAGACTCCAACCTGGCTTTGCTGGAGCTCCAGGTTCTAAGAAGTCCTTGGATCCTTCTCCCTTCCCATTTCCCTCACTGGCCAGTTGAATTATGTTTGGTAATTGCAAATGAAAGGCAACTTGAGGAAAGTGGATATTACACAGAGCTGCTCAGGTCCTGGCTGCCAGCAGAGCCACCTGGGACGTTGGATCCCTGGAAGCTGAAGCTGTTTCTGGAACCACTTTCCTATCGCCCCATCGATCCCACTTTTCCGTTTCTCTTCTTTGACCCCCACCTTTCTTCCCTTTCCTAACCTCCTTCCTGAGTGTATTATTTGTCTCCTCACTGAGTAGTTAAGTGAAAACATCCAGCTGCTGCAGAGGCGATGTATCTCTGCCAGTGACATTGGCTTCAAACTCCATCCTCTAAGCTCACATTGTGAAATAACCTCTCTCTGTAGCTCGTAACTCCTGTGTGACCTTCTGTTCCACCCAGTGCCACAACCTGAGCTTTTGAATCCTCTGTGCCTTTTTGAACTTTCGATGATAACTTTCTGGGATTCTAAAAGCACTTTCTTTTTACAAACAGCAGCAAACCAACTCGCTGTTTTGTCAATTCTCAGAACAACCTCATGTGTGTCAGGATAGAACCGTGCTCCGACGCATTTTCAGTGGTTGGTTTTTCAGAAGTAGAAGTACGAGCTTTAGGTGGATGCAAATATCCAATTTTTTCATTAACATCCAAGCACAGAAGCCATTTATATCTTCCAGGGATGATACCTTTTACAGGAGAGCTCACTATTGCATTGAATTAGGAAGTTCTGGGAATACAATTAAATCTCTGTTCTGAAAGAGGTACCGTGTCAGCATTTGCAAACATTCTCATGAACTGAACTGGGTACATATTGTTGTTTTTTTAAGTGCCGTCAAGTAAATTCCAACTCATATCAATTCCATGTACAACAACAACAACAACAACAACAAAAATAAACCCATTGCCCTGTCTTGTACTACCCTCACAACGGTTGCTCTATATGTATGTTGTTACAGCCACTGTGTTAATCCATCTGATGGAGAGTTTTTTATTTGCTCACCTTCCACTTTACCAAGCATCATATCCTTCGCTGGTCTTTTCTGATGACATGTCCAAAGTACATGAAACGAAGTATTACCACTCACTCTTCTAAGGCAGATACTCTCTGAGGTTTTCCCAGTTCTTTCTTCTGGCAGTCCATGGTACAGCATATTCTGCTTCAACAGCATCATTGAGTGTAGAGGGAACCCAATTTTCCCTGTTATGTCCCATATTTGAGCCCTTACATACTACCCCATCTGAAATAGATTTTAGACCAAATCTTGGGATCTTGTTATTCCATACTAAAACAGAGTTTCTATCCCATTTATTACATATTGTCCATTTCATGGTGATTTTTTAAAAGCATTCCTTGTCTTTTGTTGTTACCTTTACAATTAGATTATATTCAATGCCCATACTGCATGAGAAGATTTAATGAAACTGCAGCCACACGTCATATTAATTTCTGCAAGGATCAATCTTCTCACCGAGTCTTCAATCCAGCCCAGACAGCAGCCAAGTTGGCAGCAAAAGCCCAGGTAAATATCTTTCCGCAGTGGTGGTCCCTGTGCCCTTCATGCCTGGAGCAAGCAGGCTGGATTTGCCAGGGACCCTCTAAGAATTTTGGCTGAGACCTTAGCTACGTAACTCATTCCCATGAGGTCTGCTGCTTTGAGAAGATGCTTTGCAGCTGACAGCACTTTCTAGTGTAGAAAAAAGGTAATTTTCAAGTGCTTGAAGCATCTTAACATAGAGACTTGACTATACAACTCTGCCCAATGGTGGTTATCAGCTCTAGATAAATAGTTATCAACCACTAGAAAAGAATGGTGACCCTAGACAGAGTGGGGTGAAGTGTCACAAAGACATCCTATTAGCTTATGTGTTGGGTCCTATAGAACAAAGGGTCTTCAGCCTTTGATTTAAAGCCACAGAACCAACATTTTAAAGGGCTAAATGGATGAATGAAAGCAGCTGTTAGAAATGGTACAAACAGGTAAAATGAGAACCTGACAGGGAGGCCACGGGTCTATAAACATATATGGGACTGGAGGCAGCAAACAGCTGCATACACGTCAGAGGCCAACCCCGGGACATAACTTACAGTCCAACATAAAAACACAGAGATGGCTCAGACAGCAAGAAAAGATTCAGTTGGCCTGAACACTACAAGATTATGTAACACGTTGGGATTTCTGTTCACGCCAGTGTCTAATGGAGTGGACCCCACAGAATATAGACTCTGAGCTCTTTCTCCACACACATTACACAGTTATTGACTTTCTTCTCTATAGGGACTGGATAATCAAGGGTTTGCAAGCCAGAGAAGGAGGCTAACTTGGAAACAATGCCAGTGGGAAAGGGCGGTGGTGGGCTTATCCAGGAGCGTAGGAGAAGGAAGACTGGCGTTTATGGAAGGCAACAATTTTAAAGGGAGCAAATATTTTCCCCTAATAAAACCAAAATGGGCTCAGCAGTTTGAGTTAGGATTCAGGGAGGACGTTGCACATACCACATCGAGCACGTGAGAGAGCAGCAGAATGGGATGGTGAGGTGACAGCTCACATCCTAAAGGGCTTTGGCTGAACTAGTTCAGGGACGTGGAAAAAGACTTGGTCAGAGAGCTGTCCTGAACCTGGAAAATTGAGGGCCCAGAACAAATAATCCTCCGTGTTGTTTGCCCTCCCCTTGCCGTGCTTGGCTTGCTCTCCA